GACGCCGCGTACCTGCTAGCGGGTACGTGCCTGCCTGGCTCACGCTGCTGCCAGCGGTTCTCCACCTGTGGGTCGCGACCCCTGGGGGCGTCGAACGACCCTTTCACAGGGGTCGCCCGATTTAGAACAGCAGCAAAATGACAGTTATGAAGCAGCAACGAAAATAATGTTAGGGTTGGGGGGTCCCCAAAGGGTCGCTGTGTTAGGCCAATGCGGCGGCCCAGCCGAGGATCTCAGGGGAGGATGTGCAAAGCTAAGCCCCACATGCAGGTGATCTCAGATCCGCCCTTGTGGAATGATGGATCTTGGTACCCGGAGCCTGAGGAGAGAACTCAGGAGAAAACCCGAAAGAGGCAGTTTCACGATGATCTTATCTCCCTGGCTGTCCCCAACTCCCGGCTTCTGAGGGAGGACATCCCAGAGGACATGGAGAAAAGGGGCGCAGCGAAACCCGGAACCCAAGAAGCCTAGGATCTCTGGGCCTCTCCATCCCAGGCACGTCATTCCTGTTTTCGTCCCTTTTCCTGCAGGTCTGTTCGTCCGTCCTCATCCGCCGGCTGCAATGACTAGCCTCCCAACCACGCCTTCCCCCAGAGGTAAGTAAAGGCCTTTACTGATTGGAAAGGAAAAGACTGCTTCCCTCCATCCCCATTCCCAGCTCAAACCTGGAACTCCAGGCCTCCGCCTGCAGGCCTGGATGACTCTCACTTCCTCCGGAAGCCTCACTCGAGAAAAAGTCTTGGGGGGCAACTCAAGTGGGTACTTTGGTACAGTGGAAACTGAAGTTTCCTGGGCCAGTCCCTGGCACCACCCCCCAAAGCTTTGTGACCTTGAAAGACTTGCTTAACCTTTCATTTCCATCTCCCTCATTTGTAAGGATGGATACAATCGGACTTTTTATTTTTGAGGATTAAATAAGAAAATGCTGTGTCAAACTCTTAACTCAGTATCTAGTGTCCTGTGAACACCCAGTTTTATTAGTTATGATTGTTATTGGGTGCAGGTATTTTTTTTTTAATCCACCTCTCCTTGGAAAGGGGTTCTGCCAACTTGTCAAGTCTACTGTTCTGATAATACTAAGGAGCCCTGGTGGAGCTGTGGGATAGACATCGGGATGCCAGCCACAAGGTCAGCAGTTCAGACCCAGCAGCTGCTCCATAGGGAAACGATGAGGCTCTCTGCTCCTGTAAAGGCTGACAGTTTGGAAACCCTGGATAGAGTCGCTGTGAGTCAGAACCGACTTGATGACAGTTGAGTCTGGTGCTGGAACGGTAAGCACGTAGGAACAATGGTGTGACGATGGTGCAGGGACAGGTAGTGTTTTGTTCCGTGGGAGTGACCCAACAGCACCTAACAGCAACTGTGACACAGCCCCATTAATAAGCCATTGTTCCCTAGGAGGATGCTCAGGCTGGGATCCCTTCGCAGCACCGAGACTGGGTGCTCACCCATAATTTTATAGCTAGGTTGGTGATAGATAAGTAGGGTGGGAGGGGAGCACAGCCCGATTGGCTTCTACCAGGACTTCAAATCAGTCCAAACTGGTCCAGTCATGGCCAACTCAGCAGGATTGGAGTTTCCCCCAAATTTGTAAAGTGGTGTCCTAGAGGGAAAACGACTGAGAGACTTGGAAGAGGTGTCACGAGTTCTTTCAGACGCCTGATGCGGGAGATCAGATTATTGCCAAGACTGGGGAGAGTGCCACCCTTTCCAAGCGGTGCCGTTGCCACCACCCTTGAGCCAAGCACTGTTGTTTTCGACTCCGCCGGTCAAGGGTTTGGTTGCTCTGTCAGGCACAGGTCACCCTTGTCTTCTCAGAGGAAGATTACGGTGTTGACCTGCAAAGTGTCCTGTTCCTGTGAGATACTCCCATGTTTGACAGATTTCTGTTCAGGTTTCACTCTCTCAGCCGTGACTGAAGCCGGGAGAACCGGTTTGGAAGGCTTCGCCCTTGCTTGTCATTAAGGCAGACATGCTGTGCCATACAGCTGTAGAAAGGGATGAGGTGGCATCCAGGTGAAGGCTGAGGCAGTGTCCTCTGTAAGTCATAATGTGCTACTTGTCTGGTGAGGAGAAAAGGTGTCATCCATAGGGAGACGGGATGGAGCTCTGCCTCTGAGAGACAGGTAGCGAAGGGAGGGGCCAGTGAAAGAAGGGGAAGCTTGGCGTGAAGATAAACAGGCTGGACGTTCCCTGGAGGGTGCTCTGGAAGAGCCTGGGGACTTCCAGGACAAGCCCGCCCATCTGGAAAAGAGCTGGTGCTTTGCCAGAGAGATTATGACATGGGCAAAAGGGAGCTATTTACGTCCTTGACCCAAAGAGCGGAAGCTGCCAGTCCCTGGAGAAGTCTGCTCTGTGCTCACAGGTCCCTCCGATCGGAATCCACCTGACAGTAGCTAGCAACATCGTCATATGAGCAACAGTAAGATTTTCTTGAACCTTTTTCCCTCTGGTTTTAAAACATGTTCATCGACTCCTGAAAGCATTGTGGGCCCTGAGCACTGCCTCCTGTGTGGAAAGGTTCATTTGGTCCCTTTACACCCTGGGCTCTGTTCACCCCACCGGTCCAACGAGACCCAGACTCACTCCTGTCAAGTGGACTGTGGCCTGGCGACCAGTGTGCGTTTCTAAGACTAGAACTTGGTGGCAGTAGAAAGCCTAGTCTTTCTCCCTTGGAGCCACTAGCCTTAAAGGTAGCAGCCCAACGTCTAACCCACACAGCCCCAGGGCTCCTCACCAGGTGAGGCCCCTCTAGGTGAAGCCTGAGGAAGTGTGCTCTGGCAGTAGCAATGTGCACAATTCAGTCGGATTATTGGGGGGGCTAACCAATGTTCATGGGAACCGCCCATTTGCTTTCAAGTCCACGTCTCCACAAACTTTTCAAGGCCCTTCATCCTAGCTGCCTCCCAGGTGGTCCTCGTCTCGCATCTTTGTGTGAGACTTTTCTCATTTTTTCTCTCGCTCAATCCTCACCCAACCCTGTGAAGCATTTTTTATTCCCACTGGGCAGGGACTGGTGGTTACCGAGTAGTGGTTCCGAGCCGGGCTGCTAATCTCGGCAGTTTAAAACCACAAGGCGCTCTGAGGGAGAAAGAGGCTTTCTACACCCACTGAGAGTTACATCTTGGAAACGCGCAGGAGCGGTTCTCTTAGGTTTCTGGGATGGTTTACCTTGGCTCTTGCTTCTCAATGCTAAAGAATCCACGCGGCAGTAGCACTTTCGTAAACCCTAGTAAAGTATGAGGGAAAGGGAAGTTTTGGGCATTACAGTCTCAGATAGGACTCGCTATCCCTGGAAAGCGTGCAAGGCCGCAACAGGGGACCCAGGAAGAGTTCCAGACTACAGATGGCCACTACGGGGGAGTGCAAAAGAAATGAAAGGGGTACTGGAACAGCAGAGGGGCTGCCTGTGGTCCCTGGTGTTTATGCCCTCCTACCCTACTTGGGGTGTGGCTGATGATATTGACCATTTTCAGTGGCCAAGTTCAGTCGCACTTGCACCTGTGACATCATGTCACAGGTGCCTAGTGTGTGCCAGGTTGACCTTCCCCTGTGTCTGTGTGACCTTGGTCCATGTGTACCCAGCTTGGATTGCCTCCATGGGTGTCTAAGGTGTGCCTGATTTCTTTCCAACCCCTTCGTTGTGGCTGGCCAGCTAAGTTTTGTGTAGCGTAGGCATTTGGTGGAGACAGCCCCCTCTATCCCCTAATCTTCATGCCTTTCAGTTCTGCCCAGCTCTGTAGGGTCATTATGAGTCAGTCTCAACTTGATAGCCGTGAGTTTGGTGGCTTTATCTATTTATTTTTATTTAAAAATTTTTTTTTGGTTTTACAGAGGCAGAAACCAAGAAGCTCTAAGACATTTTCAGAACAGTTAAGAAATGTTCCCAAAGTCACACTGTTAATAATGGCAGAGGCAGGATTCGGGACCAAGTCTGATAGATTCCAAAGCCTGGTTTTCTTTCTGTCATGGTGTGCAGTTCCCCAGGCCTCACACCACCCCCACTGGCCGGTATAATGAAAGAGAGGGAAGGAGAAAGGGGGCAGCATTCCAGGGCGGGTTCCCACAGAGAGAAGGGTGGGAGCCACTGCCGCCTTTTGTAGGGCAGGTCCAGGTCTAGAGCAAATAAGTAGGTTGGCAGGCTCAGCCTCAGGAGGGGAAGGATCTGATGGCTCAGTGATAAGATTGAGCTCGACCAGGAATGTGGGCTACAAAAGAGCCCAGAAAGGAGGCGACTGGTAACTGGGTTAGCAAGAAAGCGAGTATGTGTGAGCCAAAGAGTCCTTGCCCTCTATCTGCTGCTGTTTAGAGTTTGGGTGAGGTCTTAAATCTTGTAGTCCACTGCCCTGACTGCCACCCACCCCCTAAAGTTTAAAGAGGAAAAAGGTGCTGTAGTCTCTTTCCTAGTCTGAGATAAGAGAGAAAAGAGCTAGGGACAGGAGGTAATGGAGCAATGCCTTCCAGACTTTTCCCTGTGCACCTACAGATACATGTGTGCATGCTGATAGTTAATGTTTTACAAAGGTGAGGTCATAATGTGTGTGTGTGTGTGTGTGTGTGTATACTATATATATGTTGGGTGTCATCAAGTTTATTTTCAACATGACCGAGTAGGGCTGCCCCAGAGTGTTTTCCAGGCTGTAATCCTTAGGCCACAGCATCTGGCAATGCCCTGGTATCACCTAGCCATATATCCTGTTCCAGTAATTGCAGATCAACCACCTTCTGAACAGGTGTCCAGTGTTTTAGAAGGCATGGTCTTTTGTTTATTTAATGACCTCTTTTGGTCAAAGGACATTCAGATTCGGGCCACACTTGAAAACAGCGTGGCAGTGAGCTCCCTTTACAGCCTCGTAAAACTCAGAAAACCAAACTTCGGGGGCACATAAATGTTTGCCTGGGGGTACAGCACGCTTGATTCCAGAACCTGGAAAGCTGGGAGTGTGTGGTGGAAAACCACACCCAACCCACTACTGTCAAGGCAATTTTGACTCGTGGTGACCCCCACCCCCACGGGACACAATAGAACTGCCCCCGTTGGGGTTCTGAGACTCGACGGAAGCAGGCTGCCTCGTCTATCTCTCAGTGGCTGCTGGACTCAACCCCCTAAACTTGGCTGTTAGCAACCCATCACTTACCCCACAACGCCACAGCTGGTGTTCTGTGGTAGAGAGAACCTTGGAAATAGCAGACAGCTTTGAAGCCTGGCTCAGATGACCGCTGAGAGGTCCCGGCAGCTTGGTTGAACTTGGTGAGCTGCGTCAGTTTTCTGCCCTGCACAAAATGAGAACATCAGCCCTGCCTCCAGCACACTCTTGGGGCGGGGCATGTTAGAAACTGAACATCACAAATCGAGGTGATGATACGGATTCTTGGAGCCTGATCCAGCTTACCTGTCTCTCTCCAGGACACTCTGTCACCTTTAGTCTGAGAACTCTAGTATGGCACATGGAGTTCAAAACTTTGATTTTTAAAGAAAGAAATTCTTTGTTTCTAAATAATGTTAGATGTACAGCAAAGTTGCAAAAACAGTACAGAATACCATATACTTTTCAGTGCAACCCCTCAGTTTTAGGGTACAAAAGAGACCCCACTC